TCGATGGACTTGGCCACCCAAGGGATTAGGCCCACCAATCCTGATCCAAACTAAGGTTAACACCCCAGGGGCTTCACAGACCTAATCCGCCCTGAAACTTTGCTTCGTGGGGCGTAGTCCTTGTTACTCTTTCACTTTGTCCCAACTTCGCCCTTGGAACAATTAGCTGTGCCATCTGTGATTGGTCACATGAACAAAGTTACAGGACGTTATCTGAAGACGTCATCACTCATAATATCTTCAATCAGTAATGATACGCACTGTTTATGCTACACACTACCAGTAGCTTGGAAACACTGCATACTATCTTAAATTCTCATGTTATCATGTAACGTAAATAAAAACCAATTATGTTAAGAAAGTGTGGCACTGAGCTCGTATTTAATAAGTTTACATTACATTTCCATGTATCAGTCTGTAAATGTAATCCAGTGATTGGGATTACAGTAATCTTGAGACTTGCAAGGAATGCAGGAAATCCGTAGCGTTAAAGGCACTTCCTCACCCCGCAAGTCTCAAGATTACAGTCGTGGACTGTAGCTCATTCTAACGGGCTCCACAGAGAACGTTCCCGCTTGATTACACATGAAGACAAGGACAGATCCAGTTCTCGGAGCGTTTTATTACATCAGACGATGGACAATGTCCAAAAATCAATACGCTACCTGAGTTTAATGTGGCCAGCCCATAGAAATGGCTGACGATCGTATCGCCAACTTTCCCACGACACTTGCATATGGAAGGAAATCCACTGCTCTTTGCTGTCACCTCGCGCAGGCGCAGTCACGTGTCTTAAAAACTACTTACTGCAGGTTGCATACGAAAAGGCGATGCTTCTACAGCACACAACTTTCCTCATTCGAGGTTTCTCACACGCAACCGTTTGCAAACTGAACCAGAGAACTACGTTCGTGACACTACACTCGGACAAGTTCCAGAACATCACGAATTTAGCTGCCCGCGTACATTAAATATGTCTGTGTAGGACTACATGCCATCTTGCGTGGGTCTGTTACAAACACATACAACCTACTCGAAATACAGAGAAGAATCCGCTTCTGACGAGTGCACATACCACAAGCTGAGGACTGAATCTTGCTACTTGACACAAAATTAGGCCTAAAGCATGTGAAACTTTTCTCATTACATGAATGTCCACGGCACTGGGAATTGCTGCATTCCATGAAATCCAAGATTTTAAGCTGTAATTACTGCATTACAACATCGCAACAGAAATCTCATCTATGAGGGCGAGAATAAATGGTGTGTGAAGAAGGAATTAAAACATAGATTCAAAATATTTCTTTGCTACAGGGTGTTGCAGTTTATACGATTTGAAATTCAAGCATGACTGACGGTGTTTCGAGTACACGAAAATAAATCGATGAATCGTACTATCGAATACAGAGCGTCGCGGCCGAGTGGTTAGCACTCTTGCTTCGTATTCATTACGTATGAGGTTAAAATCTTCTGAGAGACCGGTTGACACGACTTAGATTCCTGGTCTTCCTCAGTCCTTCCAAGCAAATACCAAGATTGCTTCCTTCCAAATTCTTTCCAATTAATTATCCTTTCGAAGCTAAAGAGAGCGTTATTAAACACACCACAAACAAATAAATAGAATGTAACTATCCAATGTATCATTCGACAGTTTCCATCGTGACTTTTATTAGAATGATATAATTTGCCAGATTATAACGAAATACATTATGAACTATTTGACAATAAAATAACACAACAAATTGCAATCAGTGTAGCTTGTTGTCCGGTCGAGATTCGAACCGACTGAACCTACATACTCGAATTAAAATCCTGTACTCAATTTAACACTCTTGGTTGAACCTGTCTGATTAAAGAAAAAAATGTTAATAAAATAGTGTAAAACGAAAATTTGAACGTGAAGTTATTCACTTCGTATCTTAATCCTTCATCTTCGTTTTTCCTTTCTTTATATCTTCCATACTTTTATCTCCTTCCGTCCATTCTCCCGTATTTTCTTCTACCCTCAAACTCCTCGGCCCTTCTAACCCTCCCTTGCAATCGTCCCATTCTGTTTAGTTCACACATCAAAATGTCTAAAATTAATTATCACAAATTTTGTCATAAGTAACTTCATAAGCTTCACAATTATACATCTTTATAGACATATTCTGAAACGTAACACAAAACAATTTATTCCACTGAAACTATTCTGTCCCACCCTGATCGCGAACCACTTGTTTGAAACATACTTTGGGAATAAACATCAACGTTTATTGTGTTTCCGCGGACAAAATCGACAAATAAACACTTTCCATCAGACCGGTGGTTATCACTTCCGTGTTTATTAAAAAGAGAAAAAAATAACAGGGTGTTGATCCCGAGGGTAACTCAATATATTTCCAACACGTTACGACCACCTGAATAAAACAGCATCCACTCGGCACATCTACGGTCCGCGTCCTGACGTCGATGATCCAGGATCGATTAACATCGAAATTGGTTCGTCTTCCGTTAGTCGCTTTGTGTTACGTGGGTAACGGAGTCCACGGCGAGACGTATGAGATTCGTCCTTGAAGCTCATGGATTCTGGACATCTTAATAAGGACACCAGGTTAAAACAGCCCTTTTAAGTGCCAACATATTACGTCGTATTTTGTGTAAGAAATTTGTATTCTTTACAAAAATCGTTTCTAAAGTATGTTTTTTTCGTAAATAAGATGTACATTCAGGCCCATGAACAAAACAAGTTTGAACACTTGAACTAAAAATACAACTAGTTGCTTTCCCGAATCTGTTGCGACAAGTTGTGAGGTCTTTGTTTCTTTTGAGCACAGTTTACGTTCCAAAATGCCATAGCCACACGCTGCAATAAATTAAATGATAGCTGCAAGTAAGACGTGTTACTTTCGGCAAATAATTCATTCGCGCTCAGTCAGTGTAATATCGGAATGACCGGAGTTTGATTGCCGGCAAGGACAAAGGATTCAGTTAACTGAATGGCAATACTGAAAAAGAAGGAATCTGTCGCGTGTGAGTTACGGTGTTAAATATTACCTCGGGTACATTTGTGCATTCAGATTTGGAAGTTATTTATTAATCGCCATATGTCCTCGATATCTGCGTAACTCGACAGTTAATATCCAAAACATTGTAAGATTTGAGGTTTTCACAGCGGTGAGTATGAAGATTTCGGTCTTCTGGGTTGTTGTGCTGTGTAGTCTGGTAGATGTTTACCGACGTTTCAGAGGTCATACTGCCTCCGTCATCAGGGCGTTGGTAAACATCTACCAGACTACACAGTGCAACAACCCAGAATACAGAAATCTTCATACTCACCGCTGTGAAAACCTCTAATCATATAAGATTGTCTGTCTACTCGTCATTGGAATGATCAGTCCCTTATTCAATACGCAGACTACATTACCTATTTGCACGACCTATAACCTCAGCAGTAAATTGTCACAAAGCACCAAAGATTCAAATCAGTTTTGATTTACGTGAACAGAATTCCATGAACTATTTGTACTAACCAATGTTTACCAAAGTCTGAACATCTAAAGTACCAACGAAGCCCTAATTATTTTCTCACTGTGTTTGAAAGTGATGCACAGGACATACCAAAAGATTTCTTTGTAATTTGTGCCTACATAAATGAACTGAACTGTGAAATTACGGTTCCATTTATTGGGATCTCTTGTGTGTATAAAATACATAAAAACTGATAGCAACCAAATTCGATAAACGTTCTTTTAAATGTATATTTAGGCGAGTCGATCTAATTGTCCATCTGTAAGCATGTAACAACTCGATAACTGTTGAAGAATTTCCATTACATTTTTTATTGGTGTAGATCCTATTTTCAGGCGCTGGTACCATGGTCCTAGTATGCAAAGACGTGAGTTTTAATAAAATCTGTCGACACATTCCAGTTATTATTCAAATCGTACAATACCAGACACTGCATAACTCACTTTTTGCATTTTTATTTTCGAAATAACTGGGCGGGAAATTCTCATGTACCAGGTAACGGGGCAAACTCGCGGAGAATGTTCGCGATGACGCCATCATCCAGCCAGACATCTCGTCCGCTCACAGGTTAACGGCAGAAAACTCTGTCGTCTCTGGTGACATTGACATAAGTCGAATGCCACTCGCCATCTGGCGAACGCGCCAGAACTCTTGCATCTCGCGTACATTTCCTGGCTGGCTTTCATTTTCACGAGAAGCGTGTTTGACTTCTACGTTCTGGAAATTCATATATTAACAGCGAGTTCATAGGAACCGATGCGGTACATAACCTGACACTCTAGAAACCACGATGTCATAGTTTTGTCTTATTAATCGTGTCTTAACGCCACG